CCCCAAAACCCCAAAACCCCAAAACCCCAAAACCCCGATGGTGACGATCATATTGAGTACTATAAATTAAATCAGAAGCTTTAGATATAAATCAGAAATGAAAGTCGATAAGTAAGGATACCTTTATGATACTCATGTCTTAGAGATATTATACACCTTTTGATTATAAGAAACTTGATTATTTTAACTCTCCTTGCTCTGGATTATGTCTAACTACTCTCTATAGACCAGAAACAGGTAAAAGTTGTAGATAAAATAGTATAGTCCAACAATATTTAAAAGAACTTAAGAAAACCTTTTACACCAGGAAAACACAGAAGTTAGAATGGAGAAAGAAGCAACTCAGTCAGATCGTCCTCGGATTCAAAGAACTCGAGTCTAAGATGGCTGCAGCTTTGAAGAAGGATCTTGGAAGAGAGGAATTTTGTAGCTTCTTCCAGGAAACTTCCTCTCCTATTGCTAAAGCTAACGATGATATTAGCATGCTTGATCAGTATGTTAAAGATGATAAGAGAGATACTCCTTTAACTATTGCTCCAGCTAAATCAAGAGTAATCTTTCAGCCTCTTGGAGCGGTTTGTATTATGTCTGCATGGAACTTCCCATTCATTACTCTTTTCCTACCGCTAATCTCAGCAATCGCAGCTGGAAACTGTGCCTTGTTGAAACCATCTGAGATGTCTCCTCACTGCAGTGCAGTATGCAGAGAACTTGTTGAGACCTATCTTGATAATGATTGCATCAAGATAGTTGAAGGAGGAGCAGAAATTTCCATCACTTGCTCACAGTTAAAATGGGATAAGATTTGCTTCACAGGAAGTTCTGAAAAAGGGAAACTTGTTGCTCAAGCTGCTGCTAAAAACCTTGTACCATGCTTATTAGAACTTGGAGGAAAAAGTGTTTCTATTGTAGATGAAAGTTCAGATGCTTCCTTTGCTGCTCTGAAGATTGCTTCATCCAGAGCTGCCAACTGTGGTCAGATTTGTATCAGCCCAGACTATGTCTTTGTCCATGAAAGTAAAAAGAAAGAGTTCCTAGAGACTGCGGTTAAGACTTTTAAAGAATGCCACGGTGAAGATCCTCAAAAGGATGAGTTTTACCCAAGAATGGTGAATGAGTTCCACACAGAAAGAGTCCTGAAGATGATCAAAGGTCACGGAGGGAAGATCATACTTGGAGGAGAGGGAGATATCAAGGATAAATATATTGCTCCTACGATTATTGATGAACCATCCATGGACTCTGACGTCATGAAAGAAGAGATCTTTGGCCCAGTCTTACCAGTTGTCTCATTCAAAGACATCCAGGAGGTCATAGATCATATGAATAACAACGAGAAACCTCTTGCAATGTATTACTTCGGAGGAGTCAACGGAGAAAATAAAACAATTTTTGAAAGAGAAATCCAATCTGGAATGATGGCGGTCAATGATTGTCTGATTCAAGCATTTAACCCAAAACTACCATTTGGAGGTATTGGATACTCTGGACAAGGAAGCTATACAGGAATTGACGGGTTCAAAAACTTCTCTAATTCTAAAGCTGTTGTCGTAAAGCCTCAGATTAACATTGATTCTATGAACAGGCTTATAATGCCACCATACAGCAATATGGACAAAGCCACCTTGAAATTTTTGATAAGCAAGCCTCTGTACCAAGGGCAGGTTCAGAAGTTCTTGATGTTGCTGCTTCTATTAATTGTAGTGCTTGCTTACTTCTATGCAATGTAAACAATAAAAATTGATAAATATTTTGCAGAATTTCGCTACAAAAGCCTCCCATTGCCATGTTGCGAATTTTTATTCGCTAGATATTCTGAAGGTTCAATCTTTATTTTTAGAATAGGGGTTTTGGGGTTTTGGGGTTTTGGGGTTTTGGGGTTTTGGGGTTTTGGGG